TCGTAATCAAAATCCTGCCGATAGTCTGGATTCGACAGCTCATGGAAATAACTCAGTGTCCGCATTTGAAGAATGTCCTCGTTTATTTCAGCAATTTGGTTACCCCTTCGTAGAATCTTGGTAAATCGGTTACCATCTGACCTTTGTGTTCTTAGTAGCTTGTGGAAAAGTTTATTGTCCGAGCAAGATGCTGTCATTATCTGGTTTGCCAATTTTTCCCTTTGTGAATTTGCCTTTCGTAATAGCCTTTCGGCTGCTATTAGCTTATTATGTTTTGTCTTTTGGTGCTCCTCCATTTTCCCATAAGGCATACTTTTCTTTAGTAATTTTTTATGCTTCTGATATATTTTTATTCCAAGGGTATTTCACAGTGCTTTTGGTTCTTATTGATTTGTTGTAGGTCGGTATGGAGTTTTTCTATAGATGTGATGTCCTCCTCTATATTTTTGTTACTAGCTTGAAGTATTTCTTTTACTCCATCAGATATAGTCAATTAATATTTTTTTAGATTGCATTTCTCCCATTCTGTTCTAACAATGACTGATTTAGGTTTGTTGGATTTCCTAACTTCTTTTGACTGTGGCTATGACAGGTACATTGTCAAATGCTATGTCTGGTTCCATATCTAAGATCTATACACTTAGTTTTAGTTCTTTAGTAGCTGAGAAAAAATAATCAATTTGTCCAGAAGATTTCGCGTTATGATGGAAAAATGTTTCTTTCTCTGGGTAATCTGGGTTATATCCTATGAGTTTTCTGCCAATAATATCTTAAATAGAGGATCATGAGATTATTTTGATCGATGTACAGACCCATTCAAGTCTCCACATATCAGTATATTACGAGTGTTCCTGTATTTTCTCAATATTTCGGTCATTTGTGTCAGAGTATCTTTGTATTCATTATCCGTATCTTTGTTGTCAGATGGCATGTATACATTAATGAGACATAAGGGAGTGTTGTCAGTCTCCATCTGTTTAACCTGTATTGATCCAATCAACCATTACTGATATTTTGCCATCCATCTCTTTTTCTTTGCCTACACCACCATAGCTTCTACGAGCAATCATACTCAATTCTAGATTTTCGTCGTTTTTTGACTGTTCACTAATAGAATCCTATAGAAATGGTCCATGTAGTGAGTATGGCTGATAGTGATGTTGATGTCGTCCTGAGACACAGATAACTATACATTTTTCTAGATGTAAGCACATCTGCAATTTCCTATTGATGACAGAAACGGAGTCAGTCATGAAACAGCAGAGCACTGACCGTTGTTAATTCTGAATATAATAGGCCCATCACAGTATCCTAGGGGTACTACTGATGTCACACCAAGAGATAAGATCTCACTTGTGGATTTTTAGTATTACGGACTTAGTTGTTGGACGTTTTTCTGTTTTTAGTATTAATATGACATGTAAGACATACTCAAAGCTCTTGTCGAAGTCTATCAGGATGGTGTCTGTTTTGTACCTACATTTTTCCCCGTCATGGATCATAACAGTTGTATTAAATGTCTCCAATTGTAATAAGCAATTGAAACTCACATGAACCCATGTTTCAACATGGTCCATGATAATACTATTGACTACTTGTATCATTTTGTTTGTGGACTTGTTTCTGATGAAACTGATGTCAGGGAAATCCTATGATAGTCAGATGTAGTGTGCTTTGTCCCTTTTTTATAAAACTAGAACTAGCTATGTTAATAGCTGTCATCAAATCTTCAAGTAAAGATAATTCGTTTAACTTCAGTTGGTATAATTTTGTCATTTATGTTGCAGGATGGTGTGTAGTGTTCTTAAGATGAAAACTTAAATTGGTGGCTCTGAGTGGTCTAAGCCATCTAACGGAGTTTTATGATGCCTAACAATGTTAACTTTAATTGGTTTCATGGTTGGGTAGGATTTTGGTCCTTTATCTGGAATGTTGTTATCATGGTTATAGTCCATCTTAGTATACTTTTGAGTGGCACTAGTTTTTGAAAATCTAGCAGCTTTGATTGGTGTGTTACTTTGAAGGTAATACCTTTATCTCAGTAGTAAAACATAAGTATTCTTATTTCTGGCTCTGTATCTATGATAAAAATCTTTGAGGATTGTTGATAGTAGTGAAATAAATTAACAGAGAGACTATCAAATATCTCCCATTTAGTAACAGCTTCTGCAGTCTCAGTTTTTTGTGGATGAATAAATGTGAAGCCAATAAAAGATCTGCATTCTTCAATATCTGTCATGTTGGCTGATTGGAAGTGAACAAATGTAAGAGACTATCAAAGGAGAGTAACTGACACTATCAAAAATCTGCCATTTTGTAAAAGCTATCCTATCAGTTAACATAAAACTTTTGATACAAGAGCACATGAATGCTAGTTGCAATGTTTGGTTTTAATTTAACCATTGGTTTCAGAGGGAAAAAATTCAAAAAAAGATTACCATGCAAACACCAAGTGATGATAAAAGATAAAAGTGCCCTCAATTAAAGCAATCTATATTTCCTACTCTTAGTAATAGGAATGTTACCCTATTTCATATTAAAAACCAAAGTGCTTATGAGCACTGAGGATAAAGATAGCTTTCATTTTGCAATGAGAACTTAAAATTATACATTGTATTTTAGCTAGCATTGGAACATTTTTTAGGCAAATTATATATTTTGAATTGAGGTTATCTTTCTTTGCATATATGCACATTTGTAGTTCAATCTATTATTATATCAGATAGATTCATTCATCATACACAACTGATGCATTTTTTTAATAAGTTTTCTTGACAAATATAATTATACAAATACACATAATTTTGTTACATTTGTACTTGATTATTTGAGTACATAATATGATTAATAAATTGCATGATGTTGGCTGGATAGGATTTAAAGAGTGTTCACCTCACTGCACTATATGTTGTTTTGACTATCAAAGGTAGTGATAAGACTTGAAAGATAAAGAACCTGGAGAGAACAGTTATTTTGTAGTTCATATCTTTAGAATACATTTAAATGCAAATTAAAAAAAAAATTCACATCTGTGTTTTCTCAATAAATTTTTTACAGTGTGATGTACTACTTTCGGGAATATTATATCAAAATAAGAGAAAAGTCTACTTGCTCTAACTCACAGGTAATTTCATCAACCTTTTACTATTTCATACATAAAATATGAAGGACTAAATTTTGGACTATATTCGAAGACAACGAAAATCAAAGGATGATTACTGTATTCCAGGACCAAGATATCAAGCCAGGTAGCATAAAGGTTTTGGTTGTATTTTATGCAATCTTTACACAAAACACTAAAAGATAGTGATGGAAGCCATCACAGAGGGCCCTGCTGCAAGTCAATAAGGAAATTATGAGGCAATTACAGAAGTAATCAGGGTTATTCCATTTAAACATAAATTTAATCCACCAACAGCAATATTTTCCTGATGCACTACTAAAATAAGTGATATTGAACTTTTATATTGAGTTGCAGTAAAAAAGTTAGCCAGTTTGCTTATAAGGTCTTTCCTATGCACATGCAATAGTTACTCTGACTTTATGTTGCTTATTATTTTTGTTATTTACATGTTTAACTTGGCTTGTATAGTTTTTTAGATAACAGCCAAAACTTCCAAAAAAAAAATTAAAAAAAATTCAACATTTAAAGAGCAAAATAACTCCAAGACGGTTTGTCAAGAGTAGGTAAATCTTGTCATGCTGATCATTTTGCAGTCAACAAAAACAGGTTGATAAATTTTTCTGAACTTTTTAGAGTTAATAGATCTTGTTATGCTGATAAATTTTGGCAATTTACACTTTTAACCTAACTCCTAATTTTTTCACAATAACACCCAAAAACTGCAAAATATGGATATTTCAGAGGCAATAACTCCAAAACAGGGCGACCTTTAAAGTTTTCTCATAATTATCACGGCAGATACATCTTGTCATGCTGATCACTTTTGCAATTTACACTTTTAATCTAGCTCAAATAGTTTTTGAAACAATGGCGAGGAAATGTTGAAAAGTGTTAAAACAACATTTCAGGGGCAGATTTTTCCAAAATATTCAGGATAGATAGAACTTGTTATGATTATGCTGACCAGTTTTACTTTGTCAGTTTTTCTCTACATGCTATAGTTTTAGAGATATTGGCCAAAACTGTTGTTTGACTCCAATGTTCTATTTTTAAACATGGTGACCATATTGGTTGATCAACCTGGACAAAAATCACAAACTTTAAAGATGACATCCTACAGATGAATCAAACTTTGGTTTCAATCTAATGAGCAGTTTCAGAGAGAAATTTTTAAAGAAAGTTTACAGAAGACAGATGACAAATGACAGACACATAGTGATGGCAAAATCTAACATGGGCCGAAAAACTAAAAAAAGTAGTTTGTGTATTAACAATGAAGTAAAAATATGCAATTTAAAAATTTTATCAAATACAATGCATACACATACCCCTAAGCAATATTTAGAATTTTTTTTGCAATATTGGGAAAATATATCTTTAAAATGAATTTCACTAAAATCCATAGAACAATTAAAGCAAGACATTATCATCCATATATTTTACATCTCTATAGGGCATAACTTCCATAATATGAAAATGAGCTTTTTTTTAAAATTTGTTTTAACACATCACATAAAATTTTTATTGAAATTCAAAAGAATATTTAAGCATGAGAGTGCTATCAAGGTCAAATTGACAGACAAACGGACAACTATATATACTTGTTATAATTCATGAGAAAATAAGCTACTCAAAATCTGCATCAAAATTTTAGATTTCATAAGTAAACAAACAAGAAAACTGATTCATTTTTGCAAACTAGACATGCCTCAAATATGAGGAGGGACTAACCACTGTCAGATGATAACCCTGAATATATGAAGCATATTTCTAGATTTATATACCCATAGGTAAATAATTGGCCAAACTGTTTCACATGTACTATAAATTCATTTAATTTCATTTGTATATATTTCATAACTTAAATAATAACCACTGCTTTTACTACTTTTAATAACAAAATAAAACAGTAAAACATAATTTCCTAAAAATCAACACCAATGATTTTTAATACTATAAGAAAATAATATATCCATGATGTAAAATAATTCAGTTTTCACCAATAATGAACACATTAAATGTGTGCAATTTTTTTGTAGGTCCGCTCATTCATTTACACTCTATTTCATTTTAAGGTATTCTGATGTATCCATACTTTGGAGCAAAGGTTAAATCACATTTAGTATACACAACAAGCACTTGTATAGCATACATGAAGTGTAATTAAATTACACCAACACTGATTTTCAGTTGCCGTAAGAAGAAGTTTGGCAGTGTACAGCTTTCATTCAATATCCTAGTCATTCTATTCACTCTTGTGGTGGTAGGTTAGACCAGTCAATAGGAGTTTTGCCATCTTTTGTGAGGATTTTATTACACTCTGAGAAATGTTTGCAGCCAATGAATCCTCTGTGTGCCGACAGCGGAGATGGATGGACTGATTTCAGGATATGATGCTTCTTCTGTAAACAAAATAAAATATAATCATATGTAGCTTGCAACATAAGATTATGATCAAGGATTGGAAATTTTTCCACACAATTTCGGTCATTTTGAGATGATTGAAAAGTTGGTGCCCCTTTCCAAATTGTCGATGTCAACTTCGCTAGATTCATATCATCAACGAACTGCTGTTTCGTCGCATTTACCAAGTAAATGTCTTACCATTACCATGGAGAACAGTTTAGGGAAGGCAATAGTTTAAAATTGAAATGATTTTAATGACTCAAAATGGTAAATCTCTCAGACATTGCATACGTTTCTTTCGATTTTGACAAAAGTTAAAACCGGAAGTTTGCGATAAAGTACGAATAATTCCAGATTCATTTCCGGGATTTGTTTTGTTTATCAAATTGACAGGAAATCACCGGCTTTTTATGTTTTTTTTATTTTATTACCTTTAAAAGTGTTTGAATGTAACAGACAATAGTTGCACTCGTTTAATTTAGCATGAAATCAATTTGCATTTTACGATTAAATATTAAATTTGCTGAAGACAATTTCATGCATGCGTAATATATTGTAAATAAAGCATGAAAAAATAATTTTTTCTCCGTAAATTTAGGTTTAATTTTTAAATCTGATTTGATGATTGTCTTTGCTGAAAAGTAATTAAATAATGAATACACTTGTCAGGGAATTTCAATTTTTGTTAAGAAAGTATTCTGAGCTTTTGATCACTTTCCGGTGTGAATTAAAACCACAGGTAAAAAGTGATTAGCGATCATTAGCCAATGTTTCCCGGAGGCATTGATATAGATATTAGGAGAGCCCTCAGGATTATCAGGATTATCAAACTACTGAAGTGGCAGTTTTATTACAGGAAAGGGATTATAAACAAAAACAAGTGATCACAACTTACACAAGACAGTGCAAAATGGCGATTAAGAAATCCGATTTCAAACATTTAGTTAATGAAATGACCGAAATTACTTCTTTAAAAAAATAAAATTTGTCCTAAATCCCAATTACTCGTTTAGGACAAATAGTTTCATCTTAGGACATGACTGGCATATATGACCGTTTCCGGACCCTTGATTATGATCCAATATTGTCTTAATGCTTAGTCCTGATGAATAATCAGGGATTAACCTTCAGAAGCTATGACAATGCCAAAGCAGTTCACATTTTCTAGAAGTCAAAATTCAAAATCAAATACTGTAAATTCAGAAATTATTGCGAGGTTTTTATTATTGCGAATAATGCGATTCCTTGAGAATCGCAATAATAAGAACTTGTATTCTGATATCTTGTACATATAGCTTTGTGTAGCATTTCCTAAAATCGCAATAATTAAATTCGCATTTTTGCTCATTCTTCAAAAATCGCAATAATAAATACATGCAATAATTTCTGAATTTACAGTATCTGTCTTAGAAAGGAGATAACAGTTTTGAATTCTATCAACTCTTTTCTATGATAATTTTGAGGTAAATCTACTTGTGTCAGGAAAACGAAAACGGAAACAGTTTTTGAAGCTAAAGGATTCAGTGGCTCATAGAAATTGCATTTTCAAACACTCGTTTGCTTGAAATATATTGCAGAACGTAAGTCAACACGTTAAACGGTGATGCAATGCCAAAAAATATTGTCAGACTCGATCAACCTACGTTATTGACACACGTGTTAAGGTAAACTGCTTGTTACTCTTTGAAAAGTTTATGGATGCTCAACCTTAGTTATTTATCTACATTATATATATATCAAAATTTGACAGCACAATTCGCTACGGTTCCTGAGATTTCAATGATCAAAACTACGAGGTTGTTTTTGGATGTAGCACATGTCAAATTAATTCTGGTCAGGCAAACAGCTCATGCAAATAAAATTTCGGCCAGGGAATCCCACGAAAAAATAAAATACAGGAGTGAAAGTGTACCCAGCAACCTGGTTTTAACTGAACGAATTTGTGAGCTTAACCCAAGTTAAGAGGGAAAGTTTTCGGTTTGAAATCCTGAGTCATCTTATTTTTTTTAAACATGAGAATATTAAAAGCTTGCCATATAGTTTTGGTGTTTTTCCATCATTTAGACCATACATGTATGTGGAGATCATGATATCTATGTTTTGTAGTTGTTGGGATTGTGGTCTCATTGACGTTTACTACACACCTTAAATCCATACAGGAAAGAACTACATCCTCTACATAATAAAAAATATTACATGTATAAATGAATTAAAAACTTATAAGAACATTTTGTTAACAAAATGAAGAGCATCACTTTTCTTACAGCTACCTTATCAATATAAGCTCCTTTCTTTTGAGCATAAGCTCCCCACAGCATAAACACTATACCGGAACGATTTTTATTCAGCCAAGAAATAACAGCATCTGTTAGTTTCTCCCAACCTTTGTCTTTGTGAGAATTTGCTTGGCTTGCCCTCACAGTCAAACAGGCATTCAACAGCAGTACACCTAGTTTGAAAAAAGAAATTTCTCACATACCAAAAAAGTATCAAACTATAAAGTTTCCATTGAGCCTGTGTTTCTCAATGTATTATCGACTAATTTTCCTCTACCGATAAGATCTTTTCATTAAAATCACATTGTTCATTTTTAAAAGCTGATCTTTCAAAGTAAATGCATCAATAAAAAGTATATTAAAAGGTAATTTTATTGAAACATAAACAAGAGTGATTAATAGGCTAAAATAGATCCTGTATTCTTGCATGGAAGGTCTTTGTCAAGAGGTTGATAAAGAGGAGAAAATAAAATAAACTACAGGCTTAAATGAACCAGTATCACTGCCCTGTGTACCTACTACTGCAACTTTTACCTCTAAAAACTAATGAATAATTGCAGTGTAATTTGATTTCAACTGTTAACTGGATTCAAACAAAAAACTTCAATGAAAAATTTCCACATGATCAATATTATTCAACTAATAAATTAAATGCTGCTGAGAAACAAAGTTAATGCAAAAAGGGGGAAAATACAACACAAATATGTACATTAAAAGATTTCTACAATAAAACAAAGTTTTTAAAATCACAAAATTGTTATCTTGTTAAATATGGTTTGCAGTGATTTGCAAAGTCTTATATAACCTTGCCTGTGTCAACAAATACATTTCGGATGAACTAATGAACAACCTACCTTGCTCAGACCAACCTGTCAATGTTCCATGTCCTGGATGTTTGAATCCTTCAATGTCATTCACCAATTCTTTATACATATTGACAAGGCTGGAAAAAAAACAGTTCAACATACTGTGGATTCATTTATTTGTAGGCACTTAACAGACTACACGAATGAATTTTATTTTTACAGGACATTTGGTCTGGTAAACAACCTAGCTTTACCAGACCGAATTAAATTTTACCAGACCAATTTTTTTTTACATCAAATTATATATTATCTGACAAAATACAAACAAACTTATGGTTGTTAACTTGTGCCCTACTCCTCTCCAAAAACGCACAAAAACAAAATCATGTGACAAGAGTGTAAAAGTGATGAAAGTTGTGCACAATTGCCTGAATGCATTTCAGTGATAAAGAAAAGTAATGTCATATTTTAATGGATTTGACCTGAAAATTATTTGTGAACTAAAATTATTTAGAGTTTCTGTATGAAATATTTCCTGTTTCTTCCCTCTTTTTCATATATCTTGGTTTTCAATTCTAGTGTTTATATTTCACAGCTGTATTTTGTGACCGGCTTGGATTTTAAAAAATTTATTTATTGTATTTGATCGGCAAACCCAGGGTATTTGCCTTATCCGTTCCCGGAATCTGATCCGGTATTGTCTACATTTCCGGTTGATGGCAGCCATTGTTGTTTTCGTCAGTCAGATATGTTTTTACCCGGATTTTCACATTACTTGTAGGCGATTTTCGGCATAAAGCTAGCGGTTGAACAAAATAAACATCGCTGTCATGAATAATAAAGATGAAAATGAATTTTGAGATCGTTTGGGAATTTTGCTAGAATGCTAGAAAAACCATGAAAAATAAACAACACCGGACATTCGGACCGGAATTCAACAAAATTTTACCAGACCGATCCATTATTCACCGGATTTGTCCGACGGTCCGACGCATTTCGTGTAGTCTGACCTAATTTCGTGGATTGAGGGAAAATGTATTTTTGTGGACATTTAATTTTGCCAAACTTTGTATACAAGCCTATAGAAAATTTGTACTTTGTTACAACATTTCAATGTGCGGTTCACTTTTACTCACAAAATCCACGAAAATTGGTATCCCACAAATAGTAATGAACCCACAGTAGGCAAACTACTATTACAAAGTGTGTCTTGTCCACAAAGCTTAATAATCCTTATATTATAATTCTGTCTTGTCCACAAAGCTTAATAATCCTTATATTATAATTCTGTCTTGTCCACAAAGCTTAATAATCCTTATATTATAAATATGTCTTGTCCACAAAGCTTAATAATCCTTATATTATAATTCAAACTATAATGGAAGTCAAGTTTAGTTAAGTATAAAAGATAGAAATGTTGGGTCACTTGAGATCTTAAGAAATGACCTGAACATTAAACTTAATACAAACCAATGAAGTGTAAAATATAGGTCAGTGTGGCATAATTTCATAAGAGACTGTTACATTCCTCAGATTAATCCTTACACCAGTTTGGTAAATTTTAAGTAAATTACTTTCGGAGATATTTTCTCATAACGCTTTGTACACATAAAAATGGCTTTACTAACTTCTTCATGAAATTTCATATTCTAAACCAAATAAACATATAGTTATAGCAAATTGCTGATAAAAAGAATAATGGAATTCTATGTTTGAATACTGACTTCATCAGCTCAGTGATAGTGATATAATTTTTCGTAGAATGCTGTCACACTCTGCTCCACACATCCTTGTCAGTAATTTGTTTTTTGGTCACTTAAGTTGTTAGCAAGGTCAAAAAAAAAGAAAAAAAGTAATGGTCACTTTATAATTCTATTATTTCTTACTTGCATTTTAATTACCAATTATACAGTAATTATCAAGACAATGTTTAAATCTTTGTCCTTTAATTGTAAGTGGATAGTTGTCTTTTTGGCAGTCATACCACATCTTCTTCATACTATTTTAAGTGCTTTTTCTGTTATGATTTTTCTTTCTTGTTCTATTATTAATCTTTTGTTGTTTCACTGCCCAGATAAATGAATAATGAATATGAAAATAACACTATAAATGTGGAGTATCTGAAGCACTTTTTGGGTTTACCTTCTTTAGGAAGGCTATAGCTAAAACCCTAAAATTGATAGCCAAGGATTTACAAATAATTGAGGAGGTATATGACCAAAATGAACCTAAAAAGAATAGCCAAATCCACCTGAGGTCAACTCTACCTGAAGGAGTTGGAACCTTATTTTCTGAATTATTTCTAAATTTATCATGACATGAGACCCTCTTGGACTAGTAGTCCACCAAGAGAGGTATTGACCCAGACAATAGGGATGGTTGAGATCTCAAATAACTAGTACAATCCTGATACTAGTTTATGTGCCTGTCTTTGGTCAGGTTGTAATTTGTTATAACTGAAAATTTATAGTTTTTTTTCATTTTTAGAATTTGGTGTTGAAAGACTTTCCATATTGTAAAAAAAAAACGAGTCTATTTTTCAAGACCATGTTTTATTCTGGTTGCCATTTTGTTTATCATGTCATTGGGTTGCTGTTTCTTTAACATTTATCCTACATTTCATTTTATTCATATCTACTCACCATGAATTTTATTTTTTTCAATTTACCAAGGGGAATAACTCAAAAGTTCTTTAACCTGTGATGTTGAAAATTAAGGATGTCAGTTGTACTAAACAACTTGAGAGTATATTTGGAACATCCAAGTATCTGTTATGATAATAATACTCAAGTTATGTTTCAGATCAGTTATATAACATAGCATTCCTGTAATATGTGTTTTTAAAGCAATTTACCTTGGTGGAGGAGTCACTCCCTTCTGTACACTAAAACAAAGACCTGAAGCAATATATAAATTTTGACATAATAATATCATGAATACATAAAACTACTTACTATAAATTCAGAAATTATTGTGGGCATTTATTATTGCGATTGTTGAAGAATGGACAAAAATGTGAGATTAGTGATTGCTATTTCAGGAAAATTAGCATACAGATATAATTATGAGATATCAGAATGCAAGATTCTTATTATTGCAATACTCATTGAGGGTCCGCTGGGAAAATCTACAAAAGAACCCCATTCAGCTATCTTTATTATTTGAGGAAAACCATTGAAGAGCGAAGTTAAATTTTGCTAACGTTCCACACTGTAAAGTTTCAGGAATCTGGGTTGAAAACTGTAGGAGTTGATTACCGTCCTTTGGTATGTATAGTGCGCACATTTATATCCTGGGTCATTTTTCTTGTAAGAGGGGTGCACGTTATACATGCCTACAGACATTTTCTTAGTCTTTTTTCAGGTCCAAACTCCGACAAAGAAATTTCCAGGAGAAGTGAAGAGTACGGAATATTTTTGCTAAAACCTCGATTGTTTTTATGTTTTACATGTTATATTTGTAATATGTATCTTATTGTTTTTGATTTGTCATGTTTTATTCATATAAAAAAACACATTTTATATCTCTGTAGTTACGTTTATCGTGTAAATTTGTCCATCTGTTTGCAATCCAGAAATTTGCCATATCTTAATAAAGACACAATAAAGCTTTTGTTGTCGGTTAAATTAGCCTCTGTGTTCCTTGTTGTCATAACTTACTGTTTTTGACTGTGTTCATCATGGAGAGTAGAAGAAAAGTGTATGAAAATTGAATAAACCACGCTCGTTTTGAAAAGATAAACCGCCAGTTTTTCTAATGTATCAGGTGATGGCCAGTCATGTGGGTCAGTCATGTGACTTGAAGTTGTAAAGTGATGATTTAGTCTATGAGAAGTTTATTTTCATAAATACATCTTCGTTTCTACTTTGTAACTTTTAAACAACTGTTTTAAACCGTTCAAGAAATTACGATTGAAAACATTATAATCCCATAATTGTAACCTAAACGAATTTAATTAGGAATGAAAGAACCTTAGTGAGCGCGCTCACATACCCCACGTCCCCACATTGTCATTGGAGAAATAAAATAAGTGTAAGAAAAAAAAATTGTATCAAAAAAAAAAATTGAATCATAATTTCCTGTCAATATGCACATCTACGTAGTATGACCTTATTATCTGAAAAGGTTTCATGAAATTCGGTTGTGTGGTTTGAGAGGAGTTGCGATGACAAACTGTTGCAGTAGTACATTAAAGTAAATAAGTTCAAAGGGGCGTAACTCCTAGAAAAAGAATTGAATCGTAATTTCCTGTCGATATGCACAACTAAATAGTATGTCCTTATTATCTAAAAAGGTTTCGTGAAATTCTGTTGTGTGGTTTGAGAGGAGTTGCGATGACAAAAGGTTGCAGTAGTATATTGGGCAAATAAGTTCAAAGGGGCGTAACTCCTAAAAAAAAAAATTGAATCGTAATTTCCTGTCAATATGCACATCTACGTAGTATGTCCTTATTATCTGAAAAGGTTTCATGAAATTCTGTTGTGTGGTTTGAGAGGAGTTGCGATGACAAACTGTTGCAGTAGTACATTAAAGTAAATAAGTTCAAAGGGGCGTAACTCCTAGAAAAAGAATTGAATCGTAATTTCCTGTCGATATGCACAACTACATAGTATGTCCTTATTATCTAAAAAGGTTTCATGAAATTCTGTTGTGTGGTTTGAGATCACCCCCAGTTTTTGGTGGGGTTCGTGTTGCTTAGTCTTTAGTTTTCTATGTTGTGTCATCTGTACTATTATTTGTCTGTTTGTCTTTTTATTTTTGGCCATGGCGTTGTCAGTTTGTTTTCGATCTATGAGTTTGACTGTCCCTCTGGTATCTTTCGTCCCTCTTTTAGAGGAGATGCGATGACAAGAAACAGGACTGACGGACTGATGGACGGACGGACAGACAGACGGACGGACGGGTCAAAAACATTATACCCTCCGCAACTCATTGCGTGGGGTATAACAAGGTGAACCTGTCACTGATTTGTTTTGACATCAATTAGACTCGTTGATTGAGGTGTGATAATCCGGATTAACAGCTAGAATCAACAAACAAAAAATAAAAATAATGAGATTTTAACAATTTATTACAGCACTAATGATGTTAATGATAACCATTTGACTGATTAATTTGGATATTTAATCTTGTCCTTGATACTTAAACAATTTATTAAATTAAAAATACAAACTTAAATGTAGATTTATCTCAATCTAATAAAATTCTTATTCATTTGTCAGAATATTTGCAATTTCATTTAATATCGTATTCCGTTCGGAATTCTCCGACATCAGTGTCCATTTAAAAAACTTCCTGTTTACCGATAGACTTCCTGTTTGCCGATTTTGGAGCTGTAACTTTTCCGAAAATGTCTATGAGTCTTATACGAACAATAAACTTCTTTTCTCACGTTTCTTGGACCATAAAGGGGGTGCGCACTATACACAAATGCGCACTTTACACCCCAAATGACGGTACACAAAATAGGTACCAACTTTTCCCTACCCGCCCACCCATCTCCCCAACATCACCATACTCTAAGCCGGTTTTGAACTTTACCAACCTGGCCAAAAATTACCACAACAGAATTTATTAAGGTTAGCCAGTTTATATGAGCAGTAAGTAAATGTTGTTTTAGTTATATATGTAATAGCTCACCATGTGCTTGTCTTGGTCCATGGTAAGGATCCTGTCCTAGTATTACTACTTTTACCTAATGATGTAGAAAAACAGTAAATTACCAATTACAGTAAACCTTAAAACATTACTTGCTGTATTTATATTTCATAAAATGTACAATCTTCCACAAGTCTTGCTTCTTTTATAAAACAGAACACAGTGTTCTCCCCAGGATTTTTGGATAGCACCAGGGTAACGCGTGTGAACAGCTTGGTGAAATGATTCATACAATCAGTTGTGTCGCGTGGCGTCGCTATATTTCTAGTTACTGCAGTTTTTATGTCTCTTGTTTTAATTCTGTGGTACTGTGTTACATGTATGTCAGAATATTATTGGTTAAAAAGATCAATTAACAGTTTGTATACTTTTAATATTTTTTAAAAATAAATAAAACATGATTCATTACATGATATTCATCTAAATTTAAAGTAATTAAATATAAAATCCATGATCAATAAAAATAAAATATCATTCAAACAGGAACATATATATTGTTAGATATACTGTTCCCTGATTCAAAAGAGAACAAAAATGTTCAATTTAAAAAACTTTCTAGTTTCTAGAAAGAAAGTTGTTGTATGTGAAAGGATTCCTGTCATAAGGAGATTTAAAATTAACAAGAAAAAAATAGTGTTATTATTTGAACCAGTTTCTATCTTGAATTTTAATAAAAAGAAATTTTTCATAAATTTTAAAATATTTTGCCATAGATTTCATGTACATGTAAATATTAACCTTTCTTGTCTTTGGTGATAATCAAACATATATACAGACTTAATACTGCACTGAAATCTAAATCTTTATTTGTCATGATCCATTTAAAAAAAAATCCTAAATCTATAAATTTATCTTAGGTCTATAGATCTATAAGTCATATTCAATGTCAACAACATTTTCCCGCCAAAATGACAGGAAGTAGATATAAATAGATTTAACATGTGCTTATGGATTAAAATTGCAAGATCACTTCTGTTATTCATTAATGATCATATGGATATAGATATCCAGTTTGAATGTACAGTCATGCATTTTATTTATTAAATAGAATAGATTGCAGTTAATTGTAAATAATCTTGAATATTCTACGTGAACTAACTGGGTCATATGATCCTTCCCCTTTGAATTACTTGTTGACAGTTTGAAACCGGAATATCATGCAATAACTATGTCATAGTTAAAGATAATTTTGGCCATGGTTTAATCAGAGACATATAAAACTATAATATAAATATTGAGCTAACTTTATAATGTACAAAATATGTACCGTCGTATGTACAACTATCGGGTCAAAACGGTTTGTGTACAAAGTATTTGCCGACTTGTCAGGTGGTGAGTGAAGCCTTAAAATAGTTATCTTTGATCATAAAGTTATGATCTCTAAATTAAAACACAAAAGAATCATGTAAAAAGTGTTAATTACATCGATTAAATCCAATCAACAAAGGTTAACCTCATAAAGGTAAATCGATCACGTGGTGTAAACAATCTGTGTTGAACTGGTTTGAACTGGTCAAATTTCACCTGGAGTTTTATACCGCACGGAAAAGATTTAACAAGTCGTTTAAAACTTTACCGATTTACGATTTTTTAACTGAAAATTTTAGCACCACGAAGAAAAATTATACATCGCGGTAAGAACGGTACCACCACGGTAAAAAATTATACATCGCGGGCCCGCGGTCCTTTAAGGGCCTGGGGAGAACACTGCAACATTGCACTACCTAAGATATAAACATCTTCCTGTAGATATTTCACAGATTTGGAACAACTTTATGATTGTTGAAAGATAGTAATTTTCATTATTAATTCATTATTTCATCTTGCTGCTGTTTTCAGGCAATATGAGAAGAACCAATTATCCATTTAATTATGTGTACCCAACATTTAGTAAAATAACAAAATCAAATATTTAAAGGCATCATTCAAGTGAATCCCTTTTTTGAAGTGCATGATTGTTATTTGGACTGATATATAATATGTCACTGGATTCAGCACTAGAATCTATAATTACAAACTTACATCATTGACATTACAATACCTTGTCCAGCTAAAGACCTGGTCAGCAGGAGGATAAATTGTTCCTTTTTTTCTTTCTGATTCTACAAACTTTGACAACTGTAAATAAACAATATTATAAAAATATTCTTTTAAGCAGGATACATGTATACAAAAACAGAAGTATCAGTATTATAATGCTGTTGATATGTCACTTAGAATTTTTTCCTGTATACTCAAATACAAAAATCATTGTTGGCACATTTCTGCTCAGATTTGAATCAACTTTTACCACTAGAAGCAGAATTGTCAGAGGTTTATCTGGTTTCTTAATTTTCACAAAATATAAGGAAAATGCACAATAGCTTCAAAGATACATTTGGTACTAATGATTGGTCAAAGCTTTACATAGGTTTCTAAAGAACTCTCTGAATGAGAAGGAAACAGAACTACAACTTTGTATCATCTTCAATTTGTAGAGTATGAATAAGCCTAAAGAGTCTACAGTAGGCTTCTGATTTAATTCCACCATGTCTTGTATACTGTAAATTCAGAAATTATTGAGAGGTTTTAATTAATGCCAATAATTTGACTGGTTGAGTATCGCAATAATAAAAACTTGCAATTGGATATTTATAAATGGCACTCTGTATGCAGATTTTCTTGAAATTGTTATAGTTAATCTTGCATAATTGTCCATGTTTCAAAAATCGCAATAATAAATGCATGCAATAATTCTGAATTTACAGTATCTAAAAATAGTATTTCTTCATCATCTTAAAACAAACTTTACCTCAACAAAGTATGGTTTAGTAAATTCCTCCTGAAGAGCTTTATACCAGGAATCACCGATGTTTGTCAATAATCCATTAGTCTGTTTCTCTCTTAGCTTTGCTAAAGCAGCAGCTTTATTCTCATTCACTCGATCTTTCTGTTCTGGGGACAAACATTCAGTTCTAGGCATATCACCACCAGGAGAGGATGAAAGGTCCTTGTCTGGACTTTTATCATCTTTCTTTAAAAGAGGGGCTGGTTCTTTTTTGGCAAAATTTGTTTCTGGTAAAGGAGGAATATTTTCACAGTCTATTCTTGCTTTCTTTGGAAATTTCTGTATGACAAAAAAATACAGTACTAGTTTAAACATTAGTATCTTGATAATGGACAGACAGCTGTATTGGTAAAATAATCTGGAGCCTGATGGAGATACATTGTACCATAGGTTAAGGGCAATAATAAAGAGGTATTTAAGTCACTCTACCTTAAGGAGCTACCATTTGATTTTTATGGGGGGACTAGGATGAAATTTGAAAAAAAAGGCAGGACAGGAGTTTTGAGTAAAAAAAAAGGCAGGATGAGCAACTTGGAAAAAAAAAAAAAGGCAGGATGACAATTTATGTAAAAAAAGTCAGGATAAACTAATAAAAAAAAAAGGCAGGACTGATAAGAGTGGAAAATAAAAAGGCAGGACAGAGATTACAACTAAAAAAAAAAGGCAGGACCAAATTTTTCATCCTAGCCCCCCCCCCCCCCCCCCCTAAAAATCAAATAGTAGCTCCCTTAATACATGTATATTGACCTTTTTTTTTATATATATCTACTACACATGTACTAGAGTACTAAGTACCAGAGACATATATACATATATAAAAACAAACAAAAAAGTAGTTCAAGTTGAAAAATAGCAGTTTAATTTGTATAATCCAAATTTGTTCAAAAAATTTTCAATTTCAAGTACATAATTTTGAAGCAGCTTAAAACTAGAGGCTCCAAGGAGTCTGAATCGCTCACCTAGCATTTTTGCATTAAAATGATACAATGCAGCAAGAATATTTGGGTAGAATAGAAATTGTGTGGGCCAAAATCTTCCTTGCTTATCTTATAACTTTTGCTGGACCTAGATTTTGTCCAACCATTAAAGTTTTCAAAATAAAAGGTCAAAATGATTTCAATGTATCTGTTAATAGTTTTCAAGATACAAGGTAAAACACTACAATTGGTCAAAAAAACTGAGGAGCAATAATTCCTAAAATGAGTTGACTGATGATGTTGGTTAAGGGTTGGTCACTACTCCTAATTTTTGGCCATGACAAAGTCGATGCAATATTTTACAATATTGATGCATCTTTGGACTTATCGGTTTTTGAAAATGATGAGTCCAGACAGATTTTCAGGAGTCCTCCGGACTCATTGACTCGCCTTAGTGAGAACCCTGATTTTGGTTTTCCAATTATTTTCTTCCAGTGACAAATGATTTAGCCATCAGAAGACAACTAGTTTAAGGTTGACATACTAAAAAGATTCTGACAACAGAAATAGGTATGTTATGCATCATTTTGTAGATAATTTAATGTAGATTTCCAACATAAGGTTTTATATGGTATAGACAACCCCAGAATCGAAATATAATGGAAATTCGCAACTGTGTGACATTTCTCCAAAATATGAGATAAGTGTTATTTTGAAGAATATATTTTTTTTTCAGAGACAAGTGCCTGCAACTACAGTCAATCTATTGGTCCCAGATTTGATTTTACCCAGATCAGTGTGTCAAATCATTACATGCATGCTGGGACTATTATACTAGTATAATAAATAGTCCTAGATGCAAGACACTATTACAATTTATATGTTTAAATCATTCTATTCTAAATTTTGTATCAATCATCAATCATACTTTATAAGCATATATAATTTTGCCTTGGATGTTCAGCTCAGATAAAGACATGTGTAAGATCAGATAATGGGCACTTAAAATTCAATAAACTTGTTTGTTGCATGTACCTCTAAAGCTTCAGTATTTTGCCGTTTTTCAGGTGAAACTTTTGTGAAAAATGATGAAATCTTTGCTTGATTATTCATTATTATTCTAAAACGTTGAATGTTGTTATTGAGAACCATGCGGAACTTTCCCGCGAAATTTATTGACCTCTGGGTTCATCTAATCAAAATTGGACTTCTTTGAATTAGGGGAAATTATCCAATCATGAAATGTGTAACTTCAACAACTTGGTTTATTTTTGTTTACATCCGCATCTGAAATTTCACATGCACGATTCAGGAAACAAGAGGTCTGAATCATTGAAACAGTAAAAAGACTGAACAGAGGTAAGCATGCTTCAACAACAAATAAGTACCAGAGACATATATACATATATAAAAACAAACAAAAAAGTATTTTATTTGCCAATCTAAAATTAATGAGCAGAATAATTACAAATGTATCATAATTTTCAATAATTAAAAATTTGGTGACTATTTTGAACGCATCTATCCCATCGAACTTCAGATAAAGGATACAACAGATACAGTTAAGTCTGCCTCATATGTTGACTTACATCTAGATATGTTTGCACCTGTCCTAAGTCAGGAATCTGATGTTCAGTAGTTGTCGTTTGTTGATGTGGTTCATAAGTGTTTCTCGTTTTTTATATAGATTAGACCGTTGGTTTTCCCGTTTGAATGATTTTACACTAGTAATTTCTGGGGCCCTTTATAGCTTGCTGTTTGGTACTTTGACCTATAATGGTTTACTTTTATAACTTTTGACTTGGATGGAGAGTTGTCTCATTGGCACTCATACCACATCTTCTTATATCTATTGACAATGAGGGTCGGTTAAAAACAAAACTTTACCACAAAAGAGACGATTTCAGCTTCCCAAATTGTGATCTTTCTATTTCTATGTAGCAACATTCCAGCAGCGCCTGCATACAGAGTATATATCTCCCAGTTGATAAGTTATTCCAGGGCTTGTATTTCCTATCATGATTTCCTTGATAGAGGGTTGCTGCTCTTAAGAAAGCTATTAAACCAAGAGTTCCAAGTGGTGATGTTGAAATCATCCCTTCGTAAATTTTACGGACGCCATCACGATTTGGTTGACCGTTATGAAATATCCATTTCACATATGATATCGGATATGTTTCAAATGTCCTAACTACAATCCTGTAACCTTTACCCCGAATGTGACCTACCAAATTAGACTTATAACCGGGTATGTACTAGCATGAGCAACACGACGGGTGCCACATGTGGAGCAGGATCTGCTTTCCTTTCTGGAGCACCTGAGATCACCCCCAGTTTTTGGTGGGGTTCTTGTTGCTCAGTCTAGTTTTCTATGTTGTGTTTTGTGTACTATTGTTTGTCTGTTGGTCTTTTTCTTAGAGGCATGGCGTTGTCAGGTTATTTTTCGACTTATAAGTTTGAATGTCCCTTTGGTATTTTTCGCCTCTCTTTTTCAAAGATATTAAACATGATTGATTGATTGTTGGTTTTCTTAACTTCCAGTGGCAAATATTTCATGCATAGTCAGAATGATCAAACGTAACATGTAATGTACATACCTTGAAAAATAACCAATTTCATGAATAAATATCATTTCCTCGGACCGCCAAACAGTTCAAAAGACTCACACAAATTTAGCTTTATCCCTAATACTATAAAGGACTGGAACACAAATAATACCAATTTTCAACAAGACCCAATCTTCAACAGAGACAAGATCATTTGCAGATATTGTTAGGTACATGTAGGGGGGTATTTGGACTTATTTCTATGTGATGGATGTACAGTGTTTATAATATTAATGTCTGTCCGACGTGTTGCATTACCAAATCAAGATCAAGATGTACAGGTCAGGAATATCCATTAATTGGTGGATTATAACTCAATTCACGTATAATCAACCATTTGATATATTTTGTAGAAATGAATTCAGAATTAAGGTATGAGCGATACTAAATTTCAGATCATCAAATGGCAGTTAGTGTTTGTGTATTTACACTTAAAGTCAGTGATGCAAAAAGTCGATAATTGTTCTCATGTTATTTGGCATGAAATTATTTTTCATTTTACGATTAAGAATCTAATTTTGTTTTTCGTTTTAAAAGGGGGATGCAGATTAATTAAGTCAATAAAACCATGTGTTCAACTTGTTAAAACTAGTTTTTCGTAATACTGTTACTAATTGAATTGAATATTTTATTATTTAATCTAAATTCATTAGCATTTATGGAAAATTAACTCAATAATTGATCAATGTTTTCTCCTGTCCGGTGTGTCTACCCATACAAGTGATTATTTAATGACCTTTATCCAGATATCCCTCAGGGCTTTAACACAGTAAAAGGAGAACCATTTTGATTATAATACAATAGGGGTTGTGTAATTACAGGTAATTGAGAATAATTGCGCCATAATAGAACAGGATCCCTGATTATGTGGTTAATTTAGTATTGTGTATTCTAACCTGGTTATATTTTGTTTGTCGTATATTGGTATGACGTTGGTGTCGTCGTCGTCGTCCGACGACACATTGGTTTTCGCACTCTAACTTTAGTTTAAGTGAATGGATCTCTATGAAATTTTACCATAAGGTTCAATACTACGAAAGGAAGGTTGGGATTGATTTTGGGGGTTATGGTACCAACAGTTAAGGAATTAGGGGCCAAAAATAAGCATTTTTGTAACTTTCAGACATAACTTGTGTTATAGTGTATGGATCTCTCTGACATTGTACCACAAGGTTCCATATCACAAAGGGAATGCTGGGATTGATTTTGGGGGTAATTGCCTCAAAATTTTAGGAATTAGGGGCCAAAAAAGGGGCAAAAAACAAGCATTTTTCTAGTTTCATGACAATAACTTGTGTGTAAGTGTATGGATCTTTCTGAAATTGTACTACAAGGTTCCGTATCACAAAGGGAAAGCCGGAATTGAGTTTGGGGGTAATTGCCCAAAACGTTTAGGAAAAAGGGGCCAAAAATAAGCATTTTTCTAGTTTCCAGACAATAACTTGTGTTCAAGTGTATGGATCTCTCTGGAATTGTACTGCAAGGTACCATACCACAAAGGGAAGACTTGGATTGATTTTGGGGGTAATTGCCTCAAAATTTTAGGAATTAGGGGCCTAAAAGGGGCAAAAAACAAGCATTTTTCTAGTTTCAGGACAATAACTTGTGTGTAAGTGTATGGATCTTTATGAAATTGTACTTCAAGGTTCCATATCACAAAGGAAAAGCTGGGTTTGAGTTTGGGGGTAATTGCCCTAAACGTTTAGGAATTTGGGGCCAAAAAGGGGCCTAAAAACAAGCATTTTTCTAGTTTCCAGACAATAACTTGTGTTCAAGTGTATGGATCTCTCTGAAATTGTACTGGAAGGTTCCATACCACAAAGGCAAGGCTGGTATTGAGTTTAGGGGTGATGAATCATAAGGGGGTTCAAAAAATTTGGGGGAGGGATTTTTTTTCCCTTTTTTTTTCTTTAAAATTTTCCATTTTAAATTGGTTATTTCTGATTTATATATAAAAGCAAATAATAATGATATGGTTTGAATAGGTAAATTAAAAATTTTTAAGTTCATAGACCACATTCATTCTGTGTCAGAAACCTATGCTGTGTCAAATATTTAATCACAATCCAAATTCAGTGCTGTATCAAGCTTGAATGTTGTGTCCATACTTGCCCCAACTGTTCAGGGTTCGACCTCTGCGGTCGTATCAAGCTGCGCCCAGCGGAGCATTTTATTTTCATTATTTTGTCATTTCATTCTAACTAATCATTGTTATTGAAAGTTTTTTGTTTTGTTTGATGTATTTATTTTGTTATGCAGGGTTTCCCCTGGGTCAATTTTCTTTTTTGCCATCTCTTTTGCCAAAACAATATATTTTTTTTTGCCAACTAACATAAACACTTTTTGTTTAAAATTTTCCTTCTTTCTAACAAAACTTTTGTTATGAATGATTACTATGCTGAGTATGGATGCCATAATTTGCTCAATAGAATATCTTGTATCTTTCATATACCATTTAAAGCTTTAATCCTTTGTGACAAAAAGAAGTAAAAAAAAGCTTACAATTGGTGCAATTTGGGAAAAAACTTAACTCTTTTCCTATTATTTTATAGTGTAAAGAAAACATAAAACAGTTAATTTTCCCCAAAATTGCACAAATTGTAAGCTTATTTTTACATTTTTTAGTTGCTCTGAGGTTGAGTCAAAAGGTGGATTATACATGAATTGAGGAATAATCCACCAAATAATTGTTATTCTTGACTTGATGTACACTGGCCATGTATTCTGCATTAAAAAACGCACAAATGGTTAAGCTCAGTCAATTACTAAAAATGACTTCATGTCCAACGTCATTGCATACATGTTTTTTTTATTTCTATTTATAGCTGTGTTCCTGTTTTGTAAGCACATTTGCGATATTGACCCATATGTGCTTAAACTATTTAAAGAAAAAAAGAAATAATTTATTTTATTCTTAGCTCTTTTTCCACATTTTGTAGCCAAACAAAGTCACTTATATAAGTTCAGATAAAAAAAATATGCACACAATTATACTATCTGTAGTAAAGCTGTTATTATGTTACAAACTTTTTACAACATTTTATCAGGTAACGTATATATATATTTTTTATTGTTTTTTTTTTATATATATATATATTTCTCTAATTCTTCGTCAATTTATCCCTTTCTGCACCCATTGTATAAAAAAAATTTAATCAACGTGTGGTTCGTTTGATCTCAATTCTTCATTGGTTAAAATCCGATTATAACGTCGAATTTTCTTGCTTTCCTCTGAATTTCCTATTGTGACGGCATGAAAAAAGGCAACCATGCCTGATGACGTCTCATAGAAAGAACACATCTTTTTGCAGATCATTCGAAAAGAAGGAATAAATTTGCCTGCGTAGTGTTTGAAAATCATTAGAGAAACATATTCCACCACCAAATCTCGTGTAATACGATATTTATCCACTCTTGACAGTTAAATTTTAAATATTTAAAACGCTCGGCAAGCCTTGCGTTTTAAATTTGAAAATTTAACTGTCTCAAAAATAAATATTGTATCACACTCGATGCAGTGGTAGAATCTATATATATATCACTTGAAATATGTA